TGTGTGTGTGTGTGTGTGTGTGTGTGTGTGTGTGTGTGACACTGTAATGTGGGAAAGACTTTTATTGATCTAATTCTCAGGGTTTGACTGCTAAACTAAAGATAACTTGTGTGTGTGTGTGCGTTTGTTTGAGAAAGTGGGAATGTCAAGGACAAACATTTCAAATATTCAACCCTGAGAGTTTCAATGAACCTCGTGTGTGTGTGTGTGTGTGTGTGTGTGTGTGTGTGTGTGAGAGAGACAATTCTATATAAAAGAACATTCTATATAAATGTGTGTGTGTGTTAAATGTGTGTTCGCTCAACTGACATTCAAATCTGCCACCTGTATGCAAATAAAACCTCATAAATTACCAAGGGATTTGGTCACTTCATTTATTAGATTATAAATGACACTTGTTTTTATTGTCTGATTAAAAGACATTCAGACATTTTTAAGTGTCTTCATTCAGTCCAGATATTGCCCGGCCTGCTGCATGTGTAAACAGTATATGTTGGTTAAGCTGATACTGATTTGTTAGCTGCAAAAGTGACTAAACTTGTCTATCTGCTGTTTTTACAGCACTTTACAATCAGAGTTGCTATTGAAACAATGAAAAATCATTTCCAATAACTGAAAAAAAAAGAAAAGAAAGAAATTTAAGATGAAAATCTTAAAATTAAAAATTTCAAGGAAAATTGCAAATGTTGTCTTGGCAACTAAAGGAAATAAGTAATCTAATTTTAAATCGAAATAAGTAATCTAATTTTTAAAAATTGAAAAATTAAACAAAAGTGTTAAACAAAAACGAATAAAAAAAATTTAAAGGAATATAACTAATACACAATAACTATAGTTGGAAACTAATTTATAACCACTTTGGTTAATATGAACTAACAATAAACAATATTTCTACAGTACTTATTAATCTTAGTTAATGTCATATTCAACATTTTTATATTCTAAAGATTAATGAACTAACATGAAGAATGAACAACTGTATTTTTAATAATTATAAATAATAAATTAATTAATAAAGATTAATAAATGCTGTTAATATGTTGATCAATCTTAATACCTGTTAGGTAATGAATTAACTAATGTCAACAAATGAGACTTCATTAATATGCATACACTTTTTAGACACAATTACTATTTATACATATACTATTATACACTTTTTTTCTATCCCTCCTTCAAACACACACACACACACACACACAGTGAAATGTGGAGCCCCAAAAGTTTCAAACAACAGCCAGGCTAGAAAAGTAGGTCATAGAGAGAAAGAGAAAGAGAAAGAGAGAGAGAGAGAGAGAGAGAGAGAGAGAGACACACACACACACACACTTACATACATGGGTCAAAGACGAAAAAGGGTTTAAGCATAAAAACATTAAGCGTAATACTGCTTTAAATTGTTGTTGCCCCCCCCCCAAATTTTTTTTTAATTTAATTGCTATTTTGTTTTTGTTTTTCTGAGCAAAAAATATATATCATACATTTTTCCCTGATTTACAGATGATGTAATTCAGTGTAACAATCTTGTCAGGCATATTTACAACAAAAATCAATTTATGACATATTACAAGACTAATAACTTTCACCCCAATTTTTTTAAATTTCCCACTATCCTAGGTTTTGCCCATTTGTCAGTACGAATTTTTTACTCATTTAAAACACAATAAAATTGTATATGCTCCCTCACTCTTTATATATATTTTAATATGTACATATAAAAATAAGCATGTTGTTTGAATTTTTACATAAATATTGTGTTACACTGAATGACAATGTAACATTATTTCAACCAAATTTTGACATTTTATCCTCCAAAAACTATTTTAAAACCTTAAAAGTAGACACTTAAATTTAATGTGCTTTCTATGGACAAAATCACTTTTGTAAATTTCTTTTGATGCGGACATCTTAACGTCTTTGACCCACATACATACAAAAAGAGAGTGTGAGATAGAGAAAGAAAGAGAAAGAGAGAGAGAGAGACACACACACACATATACAAAGAGAGAGAGAGAGCTAATTTATTATATTAGATGTACTACTGTGGCCAAATGACTTCACATGATCCACATTAAATGCTGAGTGTGAATCAGAGGTGTGATGGGGGAGGAAAAAGAGAAACCTTGTTCATGAAGAGAGAGGCATGATCACAGGAGAGCTAGACAGATTATTTTCTTTTTTTGGTCTGAATCTCACAAGAACATGTCCAGGTCACATTTCACCTCAAAACCAAGAAAAGAAAGAAATTATATTTGAAAATTATGTTTTCTTATTGTTTTGAGAAGAAATGTCCGGATGTGTCACACACACACACACACACACACACAATGTGAATCTTTACCATCATTGATGTTGGGAATCTGTCCAGCGTTCATTCTCTTCTGTTTCTCCTCCTTCTCTTTTTCTGCTTTCTCTCGTGCCAGTTTGGCTCGACGAATCTTCTCCTCTGATTCTTTCCGCTTCTGGTTCTCTTTCGCCGCTTGCTGTAAACCAAACACACACAAGATAAGTGTGTTTGTTTTTGACATGGAGTCTCAGATCCCTTTACTATACAGAGAATTAGGGCTGGGGGCGATAAAACGATAATTATCACGATATAATTTTTCCTCGATAAACCGATATAAAGAGTTTGATAAATGGTCGATATAATGTTTATTTATAATGTTTCCACCAAAAGCGGAAGGAATCAGCACGCAACATGGACCGTTTATCCGCTCGACTCCGAGTCAAACGGCAGACACTTTTACATGTTTGGTTCGATTAAAACGAACCCTGGTGGGATTGCTCTGTTAGTGCGGTTCATTTGAGCATGTGTGAACGCTGCCATTCGAACCCTGGTGGGCACCAAACAAGCAGACCTAGACCACTGAAAAGATGGGTCTCGGTCCGCTTCCAAACGAACTCTGATGCGGTTCGAAAGATATATGAACGCAACACGGACCAAATACTTCTAAACGAACCAAAAACAGGAAGTAATGACAAGATGCGATGCTATGCGACATGATTTGACGATGCGGTGTAACCAAAACAAAATGAACAGAGGGCAAACGTAGAGCAACGATGAGGTAAAGTGCCTTTTATGAGCTCCTTGTGAGTTTGCAGGTGTGAAAATAAAGTTATGTACACGCAAGAATGAGCGCGCTTAGTCCAGCAGACGGCATTAAGTGTGTTCGAAGCGGCATTATGCTTTGATATCATATACCCGCAGCGCCACTTTAAGTCAACGCACCTTTTGTTTGGGGTGTTAGGTGAGTTCCGTCACGATATATACGTCATTCAAGCCGACCAATCAGGTTGTGAACGTATTACTATGCCTTTAGGTTCGGTGTCTTTAGGGTCGCTGTCAAAAATGCCAATGTGAACGCTAAGCGGACCAGGACCAAATGTATCATTTTCCTTTTTGGTCCGGACCAAATGAACCAAACGAACCGAACTACAAGTGTGAACACACCCTCAGTCACTAAAGAGCTAATACTAAAGAGCGCTGTGAGATCCAGTGTGAAGTGCTTGAATTCAGAGAAGAACACGGATGACTCTGTGATTTAAACTAGTTCAGAGCCAGATGAAACAGCGCTGACAAACAGCAGAAACACTGTGAGCAACGACAGTCAGAAGACTTTAAATCTACAAATCGCCTTCATTTACCATGTATTTACTGTAGTAACACTGACTGCACCATGGTATTGTGTCAGAAATGAGGGATATTCATATTGAATTTTATTATATTATTAATGTAGACATGTATTATGTATTAAAGGAGTAATGGAATATAATTACAGTATTTTTTTTGATTAAGCTATAGCATTTGTGTATTTATAATAAATGTTTTTTATACAAATCCCTAGAAACCATAGTAACATAGTTAAATTTTTACCATGGTATTGAGGTGCTACTGTATATGTGTGGTTTTAACTGTGGTTATCATGATCTAAATATACGTTACTATGGAAGACCAATGGTTAATTTTAATAAAACTCAGTCAGAATAATTACACTTCACCATATAAAAATGAGGTTGTTACAATTTTTACAGATGTTGCTGTTTTTGATAATGAACATACATTTACATCTGCATCCTAACTCAAGCTACTGTCAAATGTGCATTTCTAAGAGACAACACTTTTTATATGAATATTGCAGCCTGCACTGCAAACTGGGCTGAAGATACGCACCAGGAACACAAATCTGTTTCATGATTTGAAACAATCACTCATTAGAACGTGCATAACTAAGAAATTAATTTTTCTATATTGATATTTATTTTGTTAAGGAAGAATGACTGGAAAAGTGTAAAGAATTCAAAAGCATGAAGTGTTAGTCATGCTCTGACCATAAAGAGTAGTTTAAAACCACTATTAACAGTCTGATTTCTATAACTTTCACTTAGGAGCAAAAATCGGCCTTTAAACTTGAAAGAAATAAAGATTTGAAATTCATCGTGATAATTATCGATATCGACTGATATGAAAAATTGTATCGTGATAATTTTTTTGGCCATATCGCCCAGCCCTACAGAGAATATAAGCATGTCTAGACAAAAGTCTGTTTTAATATACTAAACAGACTGATGACTGAACTATCTGCCCCACACACACACACAGGCGCTCATGTGTGTATGAATTCTATCGCTTCATAGAAATACAAATGTACCACTCAAAAGTTTAGGGTCAGTAATTTTTTTTATTTTTTATTAATATTTTAATTCAGCAAGGATGAATTAATCAAAAGTGACAGTAATTTACTTAGGCATTTTATACCATTACAAAAGATTTAAATTTCAAATAAATGCTGTTCTTTTGTACTTTGTTCATCAAAGAATCCTGAAAAAAGACCACTGTTTTCAACAATAATTATAATAAAAATGTTTCTTGAGCAGCAAATCAGCATATTAGAATGATTTCTGAAGGATCATGTGACACTGAAGACTGGAGTAATGATGCTGAAAATATAGCTTTTCTATCACAGGAATAAATTACTTTTTAAAATATATTCAAAATAGAAAATAGTTATTTTAAATAGTAATAATATTTCACAATACTACTGTTTTTACTGTATTTCTGATTAAATAAACACAACCTTTGTGAAGAAACTTTTCAAAAAATTTTTTTTTTTACAAATTTTACCAACCCCAAACTTTTGAACAGTAATGTTGCACTTAAACAAACATTGATTACAGATGTAATAAACCTTACAAAGAACATGCAATGTGTAAATTTGTTTCTTAATTGAATAAAACTAAATCTTTCTTACACTTTAACCATTTGTTCTTCCAGTCATTTGCAGCCCATTTTACTTCTGTACTACAGTATGCTGCATTTCTGAGCCGAAACAGAATATTCAAAGGAAAAAAAACAAAACTTTATGGCAGGACTTGATTTCTATCATGAAGAATTGATTGGATGATGAAAAGTGACTATATGAAGGTGCTTGAAAAATAAGAGTGCCTGCTGATGTCATACAAAAAAGAAAGTAGTTTCAGACTATGAAAAATATGAAGAATATATAACACGCACTGATGATTCGTTCACAATAAGACCAAGAAAGAAAGTAAACAGGAGCCATGTTTATTTAATGTGGACTTGAAGGGAAACGTCCTGCATTTGAAAGATTAAAGATCTCAGAGTTGTAAATTTAAAGGTCTTGACTTAAATATCAATAAACTTATCAACTTTTATCAATGGTAAATATCGTTCATATTTTCAGGCGACCGCCGGTTGTGTTCTCACCTGGAACATGTTCCTGAAGTTGTTGAGGTCACCGAAGAACTCTTCTGGACTCATTTTCTTGGGGTCGAACACAAAGTATTTGCCCAAATCCTCATACTGCTTCTCCATGTTCTCATGCATCAGCTTGAGCTTCACGAATTGCTCCTGAGCCGTCACTACAAAACTGTACACAACTTTGTCAAGGGAAATCACATGCTATTATGATTCACTGTATCTCAGCTGTGTAGGCATCAACATTTATATTTATACTTGTAAAACATTATTAAACACAAAATTAGTTGTTTTATCCCTCATCAGAGAGCAACTATGAAAAGAAGGATGATCATTCATGAATTCATAAGCTCATGTTTGTTCTGGAACCCAAACAGAATGTGATGTCACAATGGATAACTGACACTGTATTTTTTATAGCACTATTGTTTGAGGGAATGACTGTGGAAACCAAAGTGACACTTCTTGTCATGCAACAGGCCCGGGAGGAAGTAAAGGATATGGTCATTTTCTCTACGAATTTGTCTCTGTCGCTCTGCGGAGGGGGGAACGTCTCAATGTCTTTCTCCAGGTCTTTAATCTGCTTTCCCATCTGATCTAGATTCTTCTGAAGCGTCTCTGCCGGCACTGAGAGAGGAAGAAAAAATTATAAAGATAAACACACAACTGTTCTGAAATGAGATTAGTAGCACACTACCATTTAAACAAGTTTTTAATGATTTTGAAAAAATATATATATCACAATTTAAAATAACTGTTTTCTATTTGAATATATTGTAAAATACTATTTATTCCTATTATATAAAGCTGAATTTACTCAGCATCATTACACCAGTCTTCAGTGTCACATGATCCTTCAGAAATATGCTGATTTGCTGCTCAAAAAACATTTCTTATTATCAAAAAATAGTTGTGCTGCTTCACATTTTTGTGGAAACTGTGATGAGTTTTATTTTTCAGGATTCTTTGATTAATAGAAAGTTGAAAAGAACAGCATTTAATTGAAGTAGAAATCTTTTGTAATTATAAATGTCTTTATTTTATTATTATTTTTAAATCTTACTGAGCCAAACTTTTGAATGCTAGTTTATATAAAATAATAAAAGTACCATCAATGGGATTGAGACAGACCTTTGCTGGCTTTCTCCACGTGGGTGAGCTCCTCTGAGAAGTTCATGACCTCAGGATACTGTTCTTGACACATTTCCGCCAGGAAGTGCAATAGAGTCTGTTTCTGATCGGCTGATTTAGTGTCTCTCAACTAAACAAACACATTTGTTTACTGCTAATTTTGTGGGGACCAAAACATTAGGCACCTTCCAAACTTTGTACAAACTGTTGTCTCAAGCAACAAAAAGGCACAAATCCCCTGTTCTTCAGAAAGAGAACTATTGGATATGTTAGATAAGTTATTGCCATACATAAAATGAAGTAGGAATAGTTGCTCTTTTAAAACACATCAGATTGCACACACAATGTTGAGTTGACCGCATTTATCAAGCTCATTAATGCAGATGTTGGAAATCACCTTGCACAGGTAACTGATGCTGAAGCCGAAAGCTTTGGCATTGCGCGATCCTGCGTTCATGAAGTTTCCCAGCAGCAGCGTGATCTCCAGCATTTTGGCGAAGCTCTCGCTCTTCTGAAGCTCCTCGCAGGCGGCCTTCACTGCCACTAGGTCCGGCTTGATGTTATTCACCTGCTCATCAAACTGAAGCTTGAAGAGGATAGAGCTCAGACGGGGCTTCAGACGCTTCACTGAACTAATCTAGAGAGAGATATACACATGTGTGACTGTTTGTGAGAAGTCAATGGAGTGTTGATGTGTTTTTGTAAGCCAAAACCAGGAAACAGCTCTCTTGGTTCCATTATCCTAAAGTCAATACGCTTTTTTCAATGGTTAAATGCCTGAAGTATGTAGAGTATTTTATAGTAAAACATACTCCAATAAATCTTTGTTTTATTTACAACTTTGAAGTTTGTAAGTGTGTGTTCCTCACCACAACTCCGAACTGTTCAGACTCGGCCAGCTCCTCGTACTCATCTTTCATCTCTAATAATGAGTTCAGTTGTTCCTGCTCTGGCAGCAGCTTCAGCAAACTCTGAAACACACAGCAGCTGTTTACCACTAGGTAATGACTCGGGAGAAGACAACGCAAGTTTCGCTATTTTTGTCCATTTTGGTTTGCCTACCAAAACTTTACGAATACAGTTTGGCAACTGCATAGGAGACATAATATAAAAGCCCTAAGAAAAAAAAAAGCATCAATGATGTTGCATTTCCGAGGCAAAACAGAATATTCTAAAAATAATAATAATAATAAATAAATAAATTAGGGTGGGACTTGATTTATATAATTGTAGGGATACACCGATATGAAAATTTTGCCCGATAACGATAACCGATAATTCTTTATATTTGAAAGACGATAACCGATATGTTGTCAGATAAATCTAAATCTTTTTGTAATCAGACTTTTTTTAATCAGGCTCTCACAAATTCTATAAATTCTAACATTTTATAGAATTTTTGAGAACTAGATTACAAAAGTCTGACCATTAAAAGCCATGTCTGAAACACTACAACATCAATCATACATATAAGTACAGCAGCCTAGTTTGAACCAGTTTACGTTTTAAAATTAAAAGCCTTACAAATAAATTAAATAATGCTTAAATAATGCAAACAAGTCAACGGACAACATTACTTACGTGTAAAGAATCAAAATGCATGTGCTGTGGATAAAGACGGAATAGCCTCCACATGGACAATAATGAAATTATTTTAATTAAACCATATTGTTGATGAAAATAATACAATTAAAATAAAAGAGGTGGTCATTATTAAATAAAATAAAAATAAAAGTGGTGGTCATTATTAATAATGCATCAGTGATTTTGAAAAAAACATCTTGTACAAACATCTTGCTGTAGCTGAAGAGCTGAATAAACACCAGTAAACTGGCGAAGCGCTTTATTAATGGGTTAATTAGTCTATATGAGAATCAGATATTTCTACAACATAAACATAATATTATAACATATATGCACAAAAAGACACAAATGCACAAGTCAACATGAACTAAGTTACATGCTAGGAATCCTGTTGTGGATGTGCTCTTGCCTCTTCCTGAAACAATGCGCTGAAACACGGCAAATAAACCCAAAGAATTCACAACTTTTTATTACGGTAGTGTTCTCTTTATAATGTTATGCATATGACAGTCCCAATTATAGGTATTAATGATGTGCATTGCTGTTTGAGCTGCATGCGCTGAAGCTGATCACAGGTAAACTGAAGCACTCTATTAACTTAACCAAACGCATTCTATATGAGATAAATCTTCCACGACATTCTAATTTATTGAGATGCACCTGTATATATGCATAAAATAAGCACAATATTACAACGTACATTTGCACAAAAGGCTGCAAATGCACAAGCGAACTGACGTGCTAGTCATGAAAGTCTAGCTTCATTGTGAATGCGCTCATAAAAACGCGATAAAACACGGGCACACAAAGATTCGATATGTTCTCATTATAATTTTATGTAGCCTTTATGACAGACTTGCCTTGCACATGTTGCACTTTAACTGTATTTTCCTTTTCAAAGTGATTCCAGTCATATTTCAAGCAATTCATAACCATCATGGCGAACAATGCACATCTGATGAAGTGTCTCTTAAGGAAATAATGCATAATTTATCGGCTTATAAATATCGGCCAAATTTTCTTATTGGGTCGATAAAGATAACAGTAAAAATTAACATTTATCGGCCGATACCGATATGGTAGCCGATTTATTGTGCATCCCTATATAAAGGAGAATTGATTGGATGATGAGAAGTGACTCTATATGAAGCAGGTTGAAAAATAAAAGGGGCTAATGATTTCATCCAAAAGGAAAGTTGTTTCTGAAGCAAAGTTATTGTTTTGTTAAAATATTACGAATGAAAATTTTTTAGTTTTAACATGCACTGAAGATTCATTCACAATAAGACCAAAAAACTAAAGTAAATAGGAGCAAATCTGCTTTCATTTGACCTTGAAGCGAAATGTTCTGCATTTTAAGATTAAGGATCTCAACACTGTAAACCCAAGGTATAGTCTTAAACAATATCAAAACTACAAACTTTAATACAATACTGATATTGGTTGATTTTTTTTCAGTTTTTTTCTTGCATGCATTATGATGTACTATACAAGTTAAGCCAGATTGCTTTCACAATAACTTTGAAAGGTCATAAAGCATGTGAACTGAACCCAAGTGGGCTTGAGACAAGTGTTGTGGTTCACAACAAAGTTCAGAAGACAGCTTTTACACTAATGAAATGAACCAAACTCTGATGTCAAATGGACATCAATGATCCACTTAATAAGAGTGGACTAAATACGACCCTTTCATACACACTTGATCATACCTGCACCATGTTTTCAGTGAGAACTTTCTCGCTGACCTCCAGGATGACATTCTTCATCTCTTCATAAGGCATCCTGTTTGAACCCAAGAATATAGCTGCAACACACACAGAGTTCTGAGTAAACAACATTATAAATGACAGTGTTAAACTAGTGAGATATTTCACATCTAAATGAAGATTCATGCTAGGCTGTTACTCACAGAGATTCTGGGATGTTTTAGAGTCGAGTACCTTCAGCTCCTTCACCTTCTTCTTTTGAGCGTTTTTCTTATCCTCAGATGCCTCTTGATCCTTCTTACCTAGAAAAAGACAGAAAGAGAGAGAGGGTAAATACTTCAGTGTTTGAGATATCGGCCTTTGGTTCAAAAAGGACCTGAAAATTATGTTTCTTGAAGGCTGGACCCATATCTCTCCCATACACACTCACACACAGTGTTTCACTTTCCAGTGTTTCATTGGTGTCCAGTGGTTTTATGTGCTATACTTGATCTGTAAGTACTTTAAACAACAGTTTCAAATTGTCATAATTATCATATATGCAGTTTTTATGACCATGCTATTTGAGAGACTAGATTGAATATTTGTACTTTTAAAAATTAATTTGTCACACGACAGCAGTGTTGTTTTAGTTTTATTTATATACTATTATAGCATTCAATAATGTATTAGATTTCACTTTCGTTTTAGTTGTAGCAATTTTATGTTTTTTTTGCTATTTTGTGTTTTGTTTTTTTAGAAATGTATTTTTTTATTTCGGTTTAGCTTTTTTTCTATTTAGATTTTAGTTTGCGTTTTAGTGCTTAGGTTTTTCACTTAATATTTATATTTAATTTTATTCCAGCTTTATTTTAATTACAGAAAACAATGTTTAGTAGTGTTAGTAAACAATAAAACTAGTAATTTAGCAAATACAATTTATTAAATTTAATTTTTTTCTATTTCTAGCTTTTTTTCTATTTCTATTTTATTTCAGCTTCAGTACTAAAAGGAATCTTAAATAAGTTAGTTGTCAAGGCAACATTACTAATTTTAGGTTTTTCATTTAATATTTATATTTCAATTTATTGCAGCTCTATTTCAATGACAGAAAACAATTTTTAATAGTTTTGCATTTTCAACACTATATCGAAGGATTAATTAAGTGAACTGCAAAAAAGTAACTGATGATGAATTTTAAAAAGGTAATGTGCATGTTATTTGTACTGTACTTGATGGTTCTAAAAATGAATTCATAGCTCAAAATTACAAAGAGACACTTCATAAAGCATAAGTATATAATAAAGAATAGAGAGATCATTACACACACACACACACACACACACGTGTTGGCATCTCTGTTCTAAAGACAGACTTGTGAGGAGCAGGAGGAGGTCAGAGATCAGAGGTCAGGACTCAGGGTCGAGAGTCAAACGCCCATCAGCTTTAATAATGATACGTGACGACTGAAGTTCACACTACTGACGAGTCTCCAGAGAAACACCACAGACACACACAGCCTCAGATGACCATCAGCTCATGTGTGAGTGTGTGTGCAATAATCACTGAAACACACAATTAAGATCAGATAAACATCTTCATCTCTAACTGCAGTCTGGCCTGTAATTCTCTTCTGTCCTCTCGCACTCTGTCCTTTATTCATTCTCTTCTTTCTCTCTGAATAGTTTCTCTCCTCCATTTTCAGGCTCCTTTCAAACTGATTTTTTTTTCTCTCTGTACCTCATTTCCGAGCAGTACATTCATGTCTGGCATCTGTGTGTGTGTGTATTGAGTTACAGCAGCATATGGAAACGCTCAAGAGAATGATGCAGCTCTGGATTACAGATTTTTTTTTCTCTCTGTACCTCATTTCCGAGCAGTACATTCATGTCTGGCATCTGTGTGTGTGTGTGTATTGAGTTACAGCAGCATATGGAAACGCTCAAGAGAATGATGCAGCTCTGGATTACATTGCACGCGCACACACACACACACACACACACACACACACACTTTCACTCTCAGTTTGACAAAGTAGTTCATAAGAACGGCTGATCATGTTCACTTATGTAAGAAACACATGTGTGTACGTGCACAGAACTAAACGAGGATGTGCTTAATCATGTTTGTTTAGATATAAATCTAAAAATTACACGATCCAAGCCCAAAGGCTAAAATGAAACATTTACTTGATTTTATGAATGATCAATTAAGTATATCAAAAAAAAAAAAAAACTAAAATAATGATGAAATCCAGAGAGTAAAGCTAAACACACACAAAGTGTTTTTTGTTGTCTACAGAAACACAAAACAACGTATAAATCAATCAAAACACAGATTTGCATCTTCTCTCCTCTGACAGCATCACAATGCCCTGACAAACACTTACAGCGTGACCAATAAAGGAAAACAATACTCACATTTACTTCAAAACATATGAAAATCTAATTGTTACTGTAGCATCACAAGAAGTTAAACAAGAAAATAAGTAAAAGAAGAAACTAAAATGTCAGAAAGCTCCTTAAGCTTCTTGCAGTTTCATATTAATCTTTTACGACTGCACAGTAATAACTATGGCATTGTTACCCTTTTTTTCAGAAAATCCAATTATTTTTCTTATTTGTTTTAACACATTTGTTTTATTAGTTTTTGTTTCTATTTAGCTTTAATACATTTTTATTTCAGGTTTAGTTTTAATTAATTTAGGATTTAATTATTTATTCAATGAAACATACATTTCTGAATATCTAATCCATTTTAAATTAATTTATATATGTGCATACATATATAAACTTTCTTATTTTACACCCATTTTATGAATATTTTGTTTTATTAGTTTTTGTTTCTATTTAGCTTTAATACATTTTTATTTCAGGTTTAGTTTTAATTAATTTAGGATTTAATTATTTATTCAATGAAACATACATTTCTGAATATCTAATCAATTTTAAATTAATTTATATATGTGCATACATATATAAACTTTCTTATTTTACACCCATTTTATGAATATTTTTTTATTTAATAAATTCTACACACACACACACATATATATATATATATATATTACTTTTCATTGTTGTTATTTTACACCAAAGCACTTTGAATTACCACTGTATCTGAAATATGCTTCAAATAAAAATCTTAAATTATAAACATCTTAAATCTGCAACTCCTGTGTTTTTAAGGAAAAATAAATAGAACGAAACAGAAGACTAGATAGATCATTTCACTAATCTGTCTAGGGCACATTATGGGCTGTAATCTCAGTCAGTGGGTCAGTGTGTGATTGATTCTGCGCTCAGCCAGTGACTGCATTCAGAAAATGGGATCTGTGTTCAAAATGGCTGCTGGTCTCTCTCTCACACACACACACACACACACACACACACACACTTTCACTCTCAGTTTGACAAAGTAGTTCATAAGAACGGCTGATCATGTTCACTTATGTAAGAAACACATGTGTGTACGTGCACAGAACTAAACGAGGATGTGCTTAATCATGTTTGTTTAGATATAAATCTAAAAATTACACGATCCAAGCCCAAAGGCTAAAATGAAACATTTACTTGATTTTATGAATGATCAATTAAGTATATCAAAAAAAAAAAAAAACTAAAATAATGATGAAATCCAGAGAGTAAAGCTAAACACACACAAAGTGTTTTTTGTTGTCTACAGAAACACAAAACAACGTATAAATCAATCAAAACACAGATTTGCATCTTCTCTCCTCTGACAGCATCACAATGCCCTGACAAACACTTACAGCGTGACCAATAAAGGAAAACAATACTCACATTTACTTCAAAACATATGAAAATCTAATTGTTACTGTAGCATCACAAGAAGTTAAACAAGAAAATAAGTAAAAGAAGAAACTAAAATGTCAGAAAGCTCCTTAAGCTTCTTGCAGTTTCATATTAATCTTTTACGACTGCACAGTAATAACTATGGCATTGTTACCCTTTTTTTCAGAAAATCCAATTATTTTTCTTATTTGTTTTAACACATTTGTTTTATTAGTTTTTGTTTCTATTTAGCTTTAATACATTTTTATTTCAGGTTTAGTTTTAATTAATTTAGGATTTAATTATTTATTCAATGAAACATACATTTCTGAATATCTAATCAATTTTAAATTAATTTATATATGTGCATACATATATAAACTTTCTTATTTTACACCCATTTTATGAATATTTTTTTATTTAATAAATTCTACACACACACACACATATATATATATATATATATTACTTTTCATTGTTGTTATTTTACACCAAAGCACTTTGAATTACCACTGTATCTGAAATATGCTTCAAATAAAAATCTTAAATTATAAACATCTTAAATCTGCAACTCCTGTGTTTTTAAGGAAAAATAAATAGAACGAAACAGAAGACTAGATAGATCATTTCACTAATCTGTCTAGGGCACATTATGGGCTGTAATCTCAGTCAGTGGGTCAGTGTGTGATTGATTCTGCGCTCAGCCAGTGACTGCATTCAGAAAATGGGATCTGTGTTCAAAATGGCTGCTGGTCTCTCTCTCACACACACACACACACACACACACACACACGATGAGATTCCACAACTCATTTGTGAGCCAATGGCACCTCTGCAGGTCACAGTGATAACTGCAGCACAACCACAGCACATCTGTGTTACATTAACATCACATTTAAGAGTGTGTGTGTGTGCGTGTGAGATTGCACAATCCGGAGCTATCAAACACAGGCTCTTTAATGTTATTGTTTCTGGATTGTGTTGTAAAACTGCTGTCTTTTGTATTTTTGCATTGCCTGAGGTCAATTCATCCATTCAGGCTTTTATCTTCCTCTCATGGCATCCAGTCTCAGTACACAGCTGCTTCATACAAAAGAGCTCAAACACACACCTTCAATTCAGGACATACCATTTATCATTATTGTGTGTGTGTGTTTTCTCTCCATAATGACAAATATAATGACTACAGACAAAACTAAAACATACAAGGAAACTTTTAGCACTTTAACACATACATATAATATCCAAATATTATATATTATTCATATGCTAACATATATTAATATATAATATATCTTAATATATCAAACTGTATATTATTCATGTGCGTATATTCTCCAAAGACAAAATTCCCAAAATGTTTTTAAAGGGAGAATTGGTTACAGTTCGTATAGTTTGTCCCACTTCTTGGGACAAACAATAAATATTTTAAACCATTAAAACTCACTCACTCTCTCTCTCACACACACACACACACACACAAAGTTTGTGTTTATTTCTGTAAGTGTCCAGCTGTTTTTCCACTTCTT